TCTGTTAATATTTTGTATTTTAATTCTCAAAGAATCAAACACCTTTGCTACTTATCTAAGATAGAGCTACAATAGCTAATGAAAAATCAGTGATATTAATCTCCTAGCCAAAAGGTAGAAAACTTTAAAAGGAACCCATGATTTTGGATGTATCTGTATTTCCAATTCATTTACCTAGGAAGGTCACACACTGACTTAAGTAATCTGGCTTCTAGACAACCATCTCAAAAATATGTATTGAAATGAAGCCACTAATCTTTATGTTGCCATCATTTGGACCAAATGCCTTTTTATCAAATAACAGGTAAGCAGTTTCTCTCAAAGGAGAACATTTTAAAAGAAAACATTCTTTAACATACGTAGCAGACAGAGGAGAACTTAAATCTGCAAGTCAGAGCTACAGAAATCTAAAAGAGGTACAACTGCGTAATCTCGCATTCTACTCCAGTTTAGAATACATTTTTGGTATGTACATATAGATTAAGAGAGTGCAGAAAGATGTTGAATTTCTTTCTTCTTAACAAAATTTTGTAATTCCAGTTATTAGCAAAGAGTTCTGGCATTGGTTCATGGCAGCAATACAGTGGTAAGCATCTGCATTGTGTGAAGAGGTAGATTGGGACTTAATCCTTGGATTTCATAACAGACTAACTTATTTAAGGTATGAGCTTAATTTTTTAATCCAAGGAGAATTTATAATGTGAAGGCAGATCTTTGGGAACTTTTGGTTTTTGTTACATGTAGATAAAACAGCTTGATAAAGTAAACATCTGCCTTATGCTAATGAGAGGTGTGCAAAGCAGCCATTTAGGCCCTAGACAACCACAACACTGTGTTTCCGAATAAAAGGGCAATTCAACAGCTAAACCAATCAAGCAGACACAGGGATGAGTGGTCTCTAGTACCTTATTCCAGAAGCCAGAGCTATCAGACAGTCCCTAAAAAAATGTAAGTCTATATCAAGATCAACAAATTTACAGAATAATCTTGGTTCAGCTAGGCAGCCATCTGACTGATGGCACCTTAGGGCCCACAAGCCTTTAGAGTTAGCACTTGCTGCTGTGGGAAAAAAAGAAATCAATATGTTAAAAATATCAATTAGAACTTAATTCAGATAGAGAATGTGAAAGTGCAGGAGGCACAAAAAGTATATAAGTATTTTTTTTCTTTTTTTTTGTGAGGGAAAGTCTCACTTTGTTGCCTTGGTTAGAGTGCTATGGCATCACAGCTTACAGCAACTTCAAACTCTTGGGCTCAAGTGATCCTCTTGCCTCAGCCTCCTGAAAAGGGACTACAGGAGCCTGCCACAATGCCCGACTCATTTTACTATTTTTTAGTAGAGATGGGGTCTTGCTCTTGCTCAGACTGGTCTAGAACTCCTGAGCTCAAGCAATCCACCCGCCTTGGCCTCCCAGAGTGCTAGGATTACAGGCATGAGCCACTGTGCCCAGCCTCAAAGATTTTTTTTCTTTTTAGTGCAGGATCTGAACAAGTTAAGGCTCTGAGAGAAAAATAAAAAAAATTCTAAATCATAACCTTAAAAAAATGACCCTTTCTAAATCAACAACACTTTACATAAAAATTGATACTTTATCATTCACCATAAATGTCAGGTCTAAGATAATCAATATATTCCAGACTCCAGAAAGCAAAAAAAAAAAAAAAAAAAGATGACCCTTTCTAAATCAACAACACTTTACATAA